TGTCGTCCATACATTGTAGATGTTGTTAATGTTGTTGCTGATGGTCATTGCGGTTATCGATGTATTGCTGCTATGTTGGGCCTAGGTGAAGAGGCATGGCCCGTTATCCGACATGACCTCTACCAAGAATTAACTGAGTGGCTTGATGAATATGCAGAACTAGTAGGAAGCTACAATCGATTGGAAGAACTACGACAATCATTGATTGTCCATGATCGATCATAGGTATTTCTTATTTACCTCATAAACATAACATATTTCTAATTTTGTATTTCTTTTCATAAGTACTTACCTACATGCATTACAGGTTAATGCTAAGAAGTGGATGACCATACCGGACATTGGCTATCCAATTGCAAATCGATACAATCTCATCTTAGTATGTTTGTCCTATGTTCAGAGTTTTACCATATTTCCATTACGCACTTCACCACCTACAGATATCACACAACATCGAATCCTATGTATTAGATTTGTTAATGGATGTCATTTCGCACACCAACTCGCTAAGCGCACAGCCTCTGATGCGCTGTGCGAATTCAAGACTTGAAATCTCCAAACTGGCATGATTCGCTCAGCGAACCAATGGTGGTGCGCTGTGCGAATGTATTCTCCTGGCTCTGCGAATTTTACTTATGCTATGCGAGAATTGGCTGACAATTTCACTTTTGTACAACTTTTCCTGAACAATAATTTACAACAAAATCTACTTCCTATTACGACTTTTCACTGAGTAATAACATGAATAATTACAAAATTGAGATCCTTTATAAGTGTCAAAACATCTGTTTTTCACACTTATCAGGTAAACCTTCGTATCAAAAGTGAACCATTACCCATTATGATTCACTTACTAATATTAATTTTTCAGGTTCAGTTATAACAGGGTTGTCCCTTACCCATGGTGGACATAATTTCGTCAAACTATTGTTACCCATAGGCGCGAGCATGGTCTTCATTTTATACACATAGGATGCAATCATTTATGGAGTTAATGAGAGTTAATTCGACTTATATAGATCTTGGAGAAGATTGAAACTAAGTTTGTTATGTAACTTTTTTTTTTCAATTGTAAATACTTTTCGTTATATAATTTGAATCAACAAAGTCGATTCATACAATTTGTTAAATATATTATAATTAGTCAAAGTATTAAAATCATACATAATCATGCAATATTTTAAATACTTAAAGTATAAATAATTGTTTCATAAATTACCATTAAAAAGGTAAACATATATAACAATGTCTTTTCAAGAAAATGATGCACGTCCACGCACATGACCACCACCTCTTCTAGTACTAGACTCATACTCCTCAATATACCTTCGAGCTTGTCGCAACCGGAATCGCGACGGGACGACGATCCAAAAAGAAACGGGTTTTAAAAAGAGATTTGGAGTCGCCACCATAGTTTATTATGGAAAACTATGGAAAAACCTCAAAACGATAAAGCACGGTCCACGAAAACCAAAGATTGGGTTCGGGAGTCGGTTACGCGTGGGGAAGGTGTTAGCACCCCACAACGCCTGCCCTAAGGCAGTACCTTTAACTAAATGCACGAATATGATGTGGTCTTTCAAAATGTTTAATTATCCCCTAAAATAAAATTCTAAATAAACAAAACATATTTTTTAGTTTTTTGGGCCCGACAAGGATTGACCTTGCTCCTACGTATTCTCATTCAAAATGAGAAATCAGGGTTACGTAGTTCTAAAGTTTTGAAAGACTGTTTGTTGTTTGGAAAAGCAGATGTTTTTAATTTTTGGAGATTTTATATTTTTTAATATTTTCGAGAAAAAGAAGGTAACGAGTACTAGGCCGACGCGAACGGTCGCACATATACTCATACCTTTAAAATGATATTTAAATATTTTTAATTATTTTTGAAAAGAGAGATAACGATATTAAGCACTAGGACGATGCGAACGATCACACAAGCACTCATATCCGTTATCTGCTTATTTAGGAAGACTTGAGAGTATTGAGTGGCTAGGCTGATGCGGACGATCGCACGAGCACTCATACCCTCGTTTAATATATCGTAAATAAGAGAGAAAAGTATTGAACACTAGGACGATGTGAACGATCACACGAGTGTTCAACCTTTAAACGTATTTTTGAAATTTTATTTAAGAAGAAGAAAAGGTTTTTAGCACAAGGACGACGCGAGCGGTCCACACTGTGTGCTTAACCTTCAAAACGTATTTTGAAATTTTTATTAAGGAAGAAGAAAAGGTTTTTTAGCACAGGACGACGCGAGCGGTCACACGTGTGCTTAAACCTTCAAAACATATTTTTGAATTTTTTTAAAGAAGAAAGGTTTTTAGCACAAGGACGACGCGAGCGGTCACACGTGTGCTTAAACCTTCCAAACATATTTTTGAAATTTTATTTAAGAAAGAAAAAAGGTTTTTAGCACAAGGACGACGCGAGCGGTCCACACGTGCGCTTAAACCTTTAAAACTTTTCTTGTAAATTCTTTTTATTTAAACTATCAATATTGTATTATTAAATATATATTTAGGATAAGTAAATGTCTAAAATAAATAGATAAAAAACAAAATAAAATTGAACAAACAAAAGAAATGGAACTGCCGAACGGACGTTGGGAAGAGATTCAGAATAATAGCGTTCGTTAGGTAAGAACGAACGTTCGTTGGGGAGGACGAACGTCCGTTGTGGAATATAACAGACGGACGTTTAGAATGTGAGCTGAATGACGAGCGTCTTCAAGAGATATGACGAACGGACGTTGAAGAGCGAAGGCTAATGACGACGCTCGTTGAAGAAGAGACGAACGGACGTTGAAAAATTGACTAAGGACAACGTTCGTTATTGAAATAACGAACGGACGTTCAAAAATGAAGCTTAATGACGAACGCTCGTTATTTGAGAAGACGAACGGACGTTCAAAAAAAAAAAATGGGAGCCTAAGGACGAACGTTCGTTATTGAAGTGACGAACGGACGTTCAAAAATTGGGGCTAAATGACGAACTTTCGTTATTGAAATGGCGACGAACGTTCAAAAAATGGGAGCTTAAAGACGAACGTTCGTTATTGAAATGGGGAACGGACGTAAGGCTTAAGGCTAACGAACACTCATTTGTTTAGCTAACGAGGCCTCATTTCGTTTGGAGAACGACCTCGTTAGATAGAAGGCTGAGCGAACGGTCAAAGGCTTAAGGCTAACGAACGCTCATTCGTTTAGCTAACGAACACTCATTCGTTTGGAGAACGAACACTCGTTAGGGAAGGTTGAGCGAACGGTCAAAAGGGCTTAAGTTTAACGAGCGCTCGTTTGTTTGGATAACAAGCGTTCGTTGTGGGGAGATGGCGAACGGACGCCAAATAACGAGCGCTCCAAAAGAGGCCCAATGCACCAGACGTACGCCCATTTCTGGGCTTGGCCCAGTCCAATGCTTTCTAACCTAGAATTTTCTAGGGGTTCAGGAGGTTCATCCTCATTCCCCATTCCCCAGCTCGCGTCTTCTCTGACCCAAGGTCCCAAGCTCTGCACCACGAACTCACCACCACCTCTGCCATATCCGGCCACCGTCACCTCAACCAGAATAAGCCTTGGCCTCGCCGGCGACACTTCGCGCCACCAGAACCACCACCAGTCATGACGCCACTGTCTCCGCCTTTCTCTTTTCGAAAACAGCGATTCTCAGGGAGGGTCTTCTTCCACGTTCATCTCTGATCCCTTCGCGTCATCAACACCCATCATCATCAACTTCACCATTACTAAAATCTCCACGACCACTGCCACGATAAGGCTCCCCGTGCCTACCTTCGTCTACCTCCTCAGTCACCTCCACGGCCACCAGATTCCTTCTCAACAGCTCCAGGCCGCCGGGACTCAACACCCTCGCGCCACTAACCTCACCGGTGCCACCAACGCCACTCTTCTTCTTCCCCTTTCGAGTATTTTCTCAACTGCCAAATGCCCCCCGCAACACCGTTTTTCCTCTCTGCCTCCCTTAATTTTTATTGTTTTCTGATTGGTTTAATGTTGATTGATTTCTCTCTATTCAGTATTGGAAACGATGAGTGTGTAGTGTGCATATGAGCATGAGTGGGATAGATCATTCTAATAATGGTGCATGGGCTGGCGAGACAGGGGTGCATGGAGTTTATGCAGTAAGCATACATGATGAATTTGAATGTACAGGTGAACAAAAGACCTACCTGCTGCTAGGGCTGCTGCTACTGCTAGCTGTGTATTCGGTGACCTCCTCTTGCCGGTGCTGGTGCCAATGATGACCCTGGATGATGATCCCAGATGATGGTTTTCTCGTGTGCACCCTTTTCCCTTTTTTCTCTCTCTGATCAGAACCAAATTCTGCTCCCCCAAAATCTTGGAATTATCCTATTCTAACCACCTGGTCCCCCCTCCTCCAACACGCCTCTCGCATACCCCTTTCCCACGTTTTTTCTCTTTTTCTATTTCCCTTTTTTTTAATTTTTATTTTATTTTTTAATTGTTTTCAGTTTTAATTTTATTTTTCAATTTTTTAATTATTTTGATTAATTAACTCTATTAAAACAAATTGAAGATAAGAAAAATAGAAATTGAATTAAAAACAAAAAATCTAAATACATAAAAATAGAATAAAACAAAAAGGTAAAATAATAAAAAGGAAAATAATAAATAACCAATAAAAATAGAATTTTTTACAACCCGGACAAAATTGAGTGTTGACAGAGCTACCTCCAGTGTCTCAGTAGTACGTTGATAAGCTATAGTGTCCTCTATAATGTCTCGATAGGTTAACATGCTCTACAACATCCTGATCACACGCCTCATACCCCCTTGAAATTAAGATAAGAAAAAAAAATGTATTAAGTAAACAAGAACAAAAATTGATGAAAAAAAATCATATCACTTAGTTTCAATACATACCAACAATCCTAGCTCAATTGACCGTCTACGACGAACTGGAGGCACCAGCCTGTCATCTGGAAGGTCTCGCCTCATGCGCGGTGCAAGACTGGGTCATTCATCGTCGTCGCCTGGAGTGTTGTACGGGTGCGACACCTGCCTAAACCACGCTATGTATCCATCAACACATGCATATGGCTTATGAGCTTCAACGACACTAGTAATGGCATGCTCTACATACCGCAGCCAATGTAGATCAATCTTAGGAATGTCTGGCATCAAAAGAGTCTACGGCGACCATGGTATGGTCTGCTTAAAACCAAACTAACGCAACACGCGTTCAGGTAGATGTCGATGAATCATGTCGCTTAGTCGGATCCATCTCGAAAACATAGATATGGCCATGAATGGGCATGTACGTGTGTGAGAAACGTATGGATGCCAGATAACCGCATCATAAGTGAGGGCATCCAGAAATGTTCGGCCCTCTGTCAAACTCCAACCCACCCTCGGAGGTATGTATCGTGAAGCGCGTGGATCAAGGTTTGTGTACCTCTCAAACACTTCCCTCCTTCCCATGGCAGGAAAGTGCTTATATATCCAACTCTACAGAAAACATTACTTCAATTGTTTTATTCATTGCTAAAATATATTAAAATAAACTTAAGAGATGGTAATGTACCTGTAAAAGAGTAGAATATCCACTTATTTGTCTAACCTCATTGAAGCTAGCATCTCCTACCTGCTCATATGTATGTGCAAGTGCTACTGCTCCCCAAGCATATCTCGAACAAGCATTCAAGTCTCGCAAGAGAAGGGGATACGAGACTCGAATTAGAGTAGCACTCTTAGTCGTAAAAATTGTGCATCCAAGTAGATGCAACAAGTATGCCCGAGCAGCACACTCCCAACGCTCCTGCTCAATGCACTTCTGTTAGACCTCGTGTAGCTAGTTGAGCCTAATTTTTGGACTGCGTGATTGTTTCATCTCAGCTGAAGCTTTGGCGCGGTCCACACCAAGCAGCTCCATGATATGAGATTGAGCCTCATCATACTCTAACTCCTCAACCTCACAAAATTGACCCATGATGGGTAGGTGGAGCAGATTCAGAACGTCATCTAATGTGACACTCATCTCACCTATCGGTAGGTGGAAAGTATTAGTCTCTAGGTGCCACCTCTCCGAAAGGACAACGATCAATCCATGATCGACATACTCGTATGAGAGGTTCACTAAAGAACCCAACCCCGACATGGAGATATAAGGCTCAATGGCCTCATGGTACATTCCAAAATGCTTCAATTTTTTGCCATGGGAGACCACCTTTATCCCCATTCGATCCTAAAAAAAACACACAATTATATAAAAAAAATAATCTAACAATTATTAAACAATTAACATTTAGGTTGATCACTAACCCGGCCTTGCCATATGGCAAATGCAACATGTTGGGTATAGTGAGTAAGTAAGGAGGTGTCATGTGGACCTCTTGGGAATCCACCCTCTTCATCTTCATCTTCACCTTCAGCTTCATGTTCTTCCTCACTAGAGTCATCCTGCTGCTGAACATCCTTCTGCTCTACATAATCATCCTCACCATGTCCATGTTGTATAAACTCGTCCTGCTCCTCATAATCATGCTCATCAATGATGTTCACGCGATATTCTTCTACCCGTCTTCTACGAGCAAATGTCGTAGATCGTCTCCTTTCATCATGTGATGAAGATGATGGCTTACCACGAGAGGATGAAGTCTCACCACGATAAGATGATGCACCTCTAGTTCTAACCATTCCTATTAACCAATTATATTATTAACATATTATATACAAAAAATTAATAATTATATAATAAAAAATATTCAAACAAATAATATGTAATCGAAAAATATAAAATTCCAAAAAAATTACATATATAATACTTAAATAATTAGAAATAAATAAAAATAATATGTAAGAAAATAAAATTTACTGATGATTATAATTATTTAATTAAATAAACAATTTAATAAATATTGCAATTTCATAAAAAATTTTAAAAAATTAAATAAAATTATATACATAATAAATAATATATAAATATTTAAAATTTAAAAAAAAAATAACAATTTCAACAAATTTTAACAAACAAATAAAATAATTTAAAATAAACTTAAAAAATATATTACATTTTATTTAACAACTAACATAAAAATTGGAATTAAAGAATATATCAATATCAAATTTTACAAACAAACAATATGTTAAAAATAAATAAAATATACTAACAGAATAAAAAAAACAAAAAACCAGAAATGATAACGTAGACCGCAAATCCATCTGCGACGACAACTAATCGCAGATCCAAGTGCGGTTAGTCTCAGCCACGGTTCCAACTGCGGATAACACCGCCATTCGCTGAAAAACCCAATCGCAGATCCAACTGCGGTTGCAAATCGAACTAGGAGTATACTTATCCGCACTTCCAACTACGGGAGGCTTTAACCGCAAGTCCAACTACGATTAAGCTTGCGACTCCGCCCATCACCGGCCAACAACGACGAAGCGGAAAAAACCCAACACAGATGAACCTGAACTCAAGCAGATCAACAAGAAAACAAGCACATACATATATTCTATCATAGCATCACGCATCATGCATTGTATACTATAGCTCGAACGAAATCTAAATTACTAACCTGAACGCCAGAAAACTTGATGTACGTGAGATTTGTGAGAAGAAGATACCCTGCTACAATAGCCCACAAGGACACCAACACTAGGAAGGAGGCGGAAGGAAGACCAAAAAAGACGGAGGAGGGGAGCACGGGAGGAGCGTAGAGAAAGCTTTCAGATGTGGCACAGGAGGACGGAGACAAAAGAAAAGTGTTTTAGAAAGGGAGTGTAGAGTTTGAAGTGTGAGATGCGGCAGAGGAAGGTTTGAAAATGGGTCAGCCTTTTATAAAACCAAAAACTACTGACTAACGCTACTGACAGAGGCACATTTGGAACTAAAAGAAATTTGGAGGTGCAGAATGAACTTAGTGAGGTGTAGGGAGAAACACTCAATAGATTTTTATCCAGATAAAGGTGTAAGGAGAAACACTCAATAGATTTTTATCCATATAAATAAAGGAGTAGAGTGAAGAAAATGAGAACAGAGAAAAGACAAAAAGAAATGAGTACAGAGGAGTATAGGAGAAAAAAAAAGTATAGATTTTTATGTCACATCATTACATAAATTAATATAATCGATTTGATTCTATTATATAAAGTGGGATGAAATTGAAATCTCTTTTAAGAGGGAGAGGAAGTTGACGCTAACCATTTAATTTTGGAGACCAATTCAACAATTAAATCTTTATATAAATATTTTTGAACCGCGGAAACATATTTTAATAATGTTGGTAAATTTTCTAAACTCAACTCACCGTTTTTTTTTCTGACAAAAGATAGTCCACTTATTTACTATGTACAATTCATCTGAGAAGATGCTGATAAGGAATCTATGGTTCTGATATGCATCTTGGACCACTTGTTTTTAATTCTTCTTAATATTGAGTGATTAATAAGTAGATATATGAATGGCATGTTCCGGAAAACTTGTTCCAGAAAACATGTTCTAAAAACATGTTCCAAAACGCATTTCATGTGTTCTGATAATTCTCTGTTCCAAAAATGTTATTTCGAAAAGTTTGTTCAAAAAATACCATTTTCAAACTCATATTCCAGAAATTAAAAAAAAAAACTTGTTTTACAAAATTTCCAAATTAAATAGTTTGAAAGTGGAAGTGACTTTTACAAAAGGTAAAATAATCATTTTGAAAATTTAAAGGTGCAGGATTAAATTGTTGAGGCGCAATTAGAAAAGGCCATGGAAAGAACTGAGTAATTTACCGTTTTACCCTCGCATTATACTTTTGTTGCGTGCTGTGAATTGATTACAATGCTACAAAAGTGACATACAATTCTATATATTGTAAACAAGTATCTTTTTTATTGTAAATATTGGAAGCGAATAAGTTTATAATTATCCATTTTAAGTTATGTTTTATTTGAACACTTTAGAAATTAATTAATACAGGAAAAAGGTTGGTATAAAATAGAAAAAGTATTTAATCTCACTTGTAAATTACACTTTGAAAAATAAGTAATAAACCAAAAATAGTGGTATAAACGTAAAGATCAAATAAATTTGTTGACTTTTAAAACGATTTCTTAATACAATGGTTCTTTTATTAGTTGGCAACTGTATATGTTTTTAGTGAATAGATTGTAAACTTTTTTTTTAATTAGTGTAAACATTAAAAACATGACATTTTATTTAAAAATAACTCGATAAATAGTTTTGTAATTAACAAATTTTATTATTTTAAAACACATTATTTTTTTATAAATTTTTTTTTAGAGTTTTCTTACTTTCCTATAAAAGTTATTATTTTTTTTCATCTGTTTAAATATAGGCAGCTATCAAAGTAATTCTTGAGATAAGATCTTCAACTTTATCTTATTAGTTTCTGCAAAATAGTGAGTTGGTTTATGCTCTTTCACTGTAAAAATAAAGCAGTATTCTAGGGATTTCTTTCCCGAGATTTTGAAAATCTCTCCTAATTATCGGCGGTTTCAATACAAAGCCGCAATTAAGTGAAATATCTAAAGTATTTGACGCTCTAAGTCGCACCTCCAGTACTTTCTAAAATATTTGGCACCCAAAGCCGTGCTTCGGGTACTTTGTTTTATACCTCCATCAGAACTTCGGGTGTTCTGGTCGTTTCCGATCCCTAATTCCCTTTTCTTCTCCTCCTACAAATCCATAATTTTGAAAACCCAAGCTTCAAGAGCTTACCGACCTTGACATTTTTTAGGAGCTCTCCAATGACGATTTTGAGGAGCTTGTGATTTTTTGTAGGTTGTAGTGGTAGAAAAATCGCACCTCTCCTACAACAGCGAGTTCTCGCAAGCGGTGGCGTAGAAGCAGGTGGCGTAGCAGGAGGTTGAGCGGTCCAAGATCGTTGTGATTAAGGCCAAGCAGAAGCGACAGGCCGCGATTATCCGTTCTAAGGGAGAGAGATGCAACGAAGGTAATCTCTGACGTTACTGCCTCAGCTTGAATTTACAAATATTCTTACTTTATATTTGTTTTCCCTATTGCAGAATAAATTTAGATGTTCCCGAAAGATACCAGTGAGTTCACCTTGCTCAGTTCATTGTCATTCTTGACATGATGAGATTGCAATTTGCTAGCTTCATTTTATATTTATGAACTTTTCAGTTCATAGTGATATTTTCTTGACTTATTTGCGTCTGTTTTCATAGGCTTTGAAAAGGTCAATATCGGAGGCAACCTTAAATAAAATGTCTGGTTTGTTTGGTTCCTTAATGTATATAAGGTTTAATACCTATTTTGATCCCTCCATTTATTAGATGTGTTCAAATTGGTCCTTCTTTTCTCAAAAATTCATAAACGTCCTATGTTTTGTAAAAAATAGTTCAAGTTGATCCTTTTTGCCTACGGCGTTAAAAAACTAACGACAGAGTTGCTCTCCTGGCAACTACTGAATGAGTTGTCCAATTTATCATTACGTGGCACTCTGAAATGA